TTAAATATAAAAAAATATTTAGAATTTATATAATATAAAAATATAATTCATATAGACTTTTTTGTATGAAAAGTATTGTGGATTTAATTAGAGTAAGATCACGTACATACACATAAGCGTGCGCGAAATGTTTGTGTTTCATAAATTAATATCTTGTATCATTGCGCGCTATGTGTATGCAATATATTCCGTATTATGCTCTTGATACATAGAATCTTGATAGCAAAGTCAATATAATTGTCTGTTACACTATAATCAAATCTACATATATTTCACTTATTGATTCGATATTTTGATTGTAATATGTCCTTCATATTCCAATCTGTTTATTCTCACTTGTTTCCTTATAATCCTTTTACAATCCTATAAAAAAGAAACTACCACTACTCTCATACACGGATGCGACGCATATATTTCATGATAACTAAGTTGTTATTTTATGGTGCCACAGGCGGTGGAAAGGAGTGGCGTGGCGCGGGTGTAGCCGATGATGGGGTAGCTGAGAGTAAGCAGTAAGCCGAGTAGCAGGGGGCTGTAAGCAGTTTGCAGTAGCGAGAAAAAGAGAGCGGTGTTGGTGGTGCGGTGCGGTGCGGTGCGGTGCGATGCGGTGCGGTGCGGTGCGATGCGGTCCGGTCCGGTACGCTCCGATAATCGAGTGATCCGATGGTTCGTTCAAGGCGGGTTTGCGAAAAATCAGGGCAAGATAGTGGGGAGTACACACGCACGTACATATACACATGAACATACATATACACGCGCGCGCGCGCGCGAACACACACACACACATGCATGGCACACACACATGTATGTATGTTTGTATGTATATATGTATGTATGTATGTATGTATGTTTGTATGTATGTATGTATGTATGTATGTTTGTATGTATGTATGTATGTATGTATGTTTGTATGTATGTATGTATGTATGTATGTTTGTATGTATGTATGTATGTATGTATGTATGTATGTATGTATGTATGTATGTATGTATGTATGTATGTATGTATGTATGTATGTATGTATGTATGTATGTATGTATGTATGTATGTATGTATGTATGTATGTATGTATGTATGTATGTATGTATGTATGTATGTATGTATGTATGTATGTATGTATGTATGTATGTATGTATGTATGTATGTATGTTTGTATGTATATATGTATGTATGTATGTATGTATGTATGTATGTATGTATGTATGCATGAATGATGTATGTATATATGTATTATGTATGTATGATGTATGTATATATGTATGATGTATGTATATATGTATGTATGTATGTATGTATGTATGTATGTATGTATGTATGTATGTATGTATGTATGTATGTATGTATGTACACGGTCGACAATTAAGTTTCGAGACTTGCTTTCCGAACATTTGATCCGTTTGTGCTGCCATTTTAGGGGATTATTTACAACTCAATACTCAACACGTGGTGCAAGTTTTGAATTATTTGGTTTCATAGTTAATGAGATACAGTTATGCAAAGTTTTGTGTTACAAAATTTTGTTTAAAAATCGGTGTAATGGAAGGACCGCTTGACAATGCGCCAACATTAAATTCTGCGTTAAATTAGTGAGGTCTTCAACAGAAACGTTGCAAGTGATTCAGCAAGCCTAGTCCTCTGAAGCAAACTCTTTCAAAATTTGATTCACGTTTTTTTTTTGTCATCTGTATCTTCGAAACCCTACTCTTATGCATAGCTGACTCTTCATAGGTTTGTTGAATCATTTGTAACGTTTCTGTTGGAGACTTTTTCAATTTAACGCAGAATTTGATGTTTGCGCGTTGTCAAGCATTCCTTCTATTACACCGATTTTTAAACAAAATTTTGTAACACAAAACTTTGCGTGTTTGTATCTCATTAACTATTGAACCAAATAATTTAAAACTTGTATCAGTGTTGAGTCGTGAATAACCCACTAAAATGGTAGCACAAACGGATCAAACGTTCGGAAATGCCAAGCAAGTCTCGAAACTTAATTGTTCGACCGTGTATGTATATATGTATGTATGTATATGTAAGAGAAGTAGACAGAGAGGATAGATTCAGATGATAATTCATTTACTTTATTAAGAAATATTGCGAGACTGCTGCTGGTTTCTTGGAGCATTCGGGACGCGACATCGGATTCTTGCAACGCGCGATAAACCATTACTAAATTTGAGAAAAGAACTGGCTAATTTATAGAACGTATTCATTGATTGATCATCGTAAACGGAAACATGTGACCTAATCACAAGTAATATTTGAGCATTTATATTTAGCAATTCATGAACGAGGTAGGGAAAAATTTATTCGATCCAGCCTAAGATAATTTATTTAGACAAGAAATCTCAATTCTCACGATTAGGTACTCAACCTCTATGAAGTTGGCACCCTATCTTTTAAAAAACTAAAGTTCTTTTAGAATTCTGAGTGGATCCCGAAGAGTTCTAGCGTTCCTTATTAATTTTAAAAATAGTTCTGGCGCGAATTAAGTTAAAAAAACTATTGATAAATCTTAGGAATGCTAACTTCACAAAATGAAATGATTAAATCAGCGAAAACATTATAACTACTAAAAATAATTAAGTTTGCCATTAGAATTTCTTTTAGAACTCTTAAGGTGCTACCCAGAATTCCCAACAGAACTGCCAAAACTTAAAAAAAATTTTTTTTAATTTTTCATTTAACATACAATTTTCATTCAAAAATCGCGAGAACTTTTTATATATCGGTCTTAGCGCTCCGAGCTAATAGTTATTGGTAGAATTTGTGAGGTGCTATTCAGAACTCTGATAAAATCGCCGACATTCCGAAAAAATCTTTTTTTGCAATTTTTTATATATTGAATGCGACCAAAAAATTTTTTAAAAGTTCTGGTAGTTCTGTTAAGAGTTCTGAGTAGCACTTCACGAGTTCTACCAATAGCTATTAATGCTCGAAGCGCTAAGATCTATATATAAAAAGTTTTCACGATTTTTCATATATTGAATGAAAAACCAAAAAATTTTTTAAAAGTTTTGGCAGTTCTATTGACAGTTCTGGGTAGCACCTCACGAGTTCTACCAATAACTCTTAATGCTCGAAATGTTAAGGCCGATATATAAAAAGTTTTCGCGATTTTTTGTATGTCGAACGAAAAACAAAAAAAAATTTTTTAAAGTTCTAGCAGTTCTGCTGGGAGTTCTGGGTAGCATCTCAAGAGTTCTAAAAGAAATCCTAATGGCAAAATTAATTATTTTTAGTATTTAAAATGTTATCGCTGATTTAGTCATTTCATTTTGTGAAGTTAGCACTCCTAAGATTCATCAATGGTTTTTTTAGTTTAATTCGCCAGAACTATTTTTAAAATTAATAAGGAACTCTAGAACTCTTCGGGGTGCACTTAAAACTTGTAAAAAAATTTAGTTTTTTGAAAGATGGGATGCCAATTTCATAGAGGTTTACTCTCACAGTTACATACTGTTATATATTTCTTTTGTGATATGCAACTTGTTACAAAATATATATAATTTTTCACACGTACACATATATTACTATATTATATTATTGATAAATTAAGTGCATTAGCATCACGAATGATAATCACATAGTTCAACAAAAAAAAAAGAAAGAAAGAAAGAGTAATCAATTCCAACAATTTTTTTATATTATAATTTTTATATTTTTTATATACATATGATTCTCACCTTCACGTGCAATTTTGAGAAATTTGTGGTTAAAACAAATAGCTATTTTTACATATTTTATTGTATTACAGTTGTGCTATATGACATATTGATGTGGTATATGAAGAAATTTGATAAAATTAAGTATGTTGTTAAGATCTTCGGTCTTCAAAAACAATTTGATGATGAACAAAATGTTGATTATGGTTTTGATTAGATATCTTTTCCAAAAAGGTAAAAAAAGATGCCAAGTATAAAAAGTTATACAAAGAAGTGTTGCTTTAATATGTTTTATTGTTTAAAAATTCGTTTTCCTATTTAAATATATTAAATAATAATGCCAAATAATGAGGGCGAATTTTATGCATATTATAAAAATTAATTGCTTAATGTAATTACTTTAATCCTTTTAAAATATTTAGTTTTCGATGATCTTACCGTAATACTTTTATGTACAGAATAATGAGAACTAAATATTTTATGAGATATTTTATTTTTTATATCAAAATATGTCAGATTAAGATATAAAATAACTCAAAAAATACTTTATTCAATGTGACCTTGATATGTTCTTAACAACGCCACCCAAGATCTAACTAATATTACTATCTTCTTTCCCCCTCAAAATCAAACAACTTTTGTCTAAAAAGTTTCCTTCGAAAACTTACAGATTTCGAGATATTACGGTGTGGAGGTTAAAATGGGACACTTTGTATATACAGGGTGTTAAAAAAAATCATTCAATATTTATATGGTAGATAGGACACGTCATACTGACATGAGTAAAAAAACCTTAGTAAACATAAGTCGAAAGCTCAATCATTTCTGAGATATGAACATTTTTGTGTGTTAGCATCATGATTGACTTACTGGCTTCTGGTGTGTCGAATGCGACGTGAGAAGAAGATAATCTATCTAAATCTTTATCTCGATATTTACAGAAGGTGTTCCACATGTCCTTCCATTTTCATACACGCTTGGCATCTTCTTACAAAATCGCGAGCTCTTTCGAAAATTCCAGGTTTCTGTCGAACTATTTGACAAGCACGCTGGATTCGGTCACGTAATTCTTCTAAGTCATTTATCGGCGAAGAATACATTATGCTTTTCAAATATCCCTATAAAAAAGTCTAAGAGATTTAAATCAGGGGATCGAGAGGCCATGCAACTGGTCCACTACGTCCAATCCACCTTTGACCGAACACCGTGTTTAAGTACTCTCTCACATTACGCATAAAATGAGCTGGAGCCCCATCATGCATGTACCACATTGATAATCTTTTAGCCAAAGGCATATTCTTTAAGAACTGAGGTAATGTATACATCAAGAAATTGAGATAAGCAGCGCCTGAAAGCCGATTTGGGAGTATTATAGGGTCAATGAGATGATCTCCCATAATGCCCATCCAAACATTTAACGAAAATCGGTGTTGGTAGTTTGTTTGAATAAATGCGTGAAGATTTTCTACTGTCCATACGTGATCATTATGGAAATTTGTAATTTTATTTCGCGTAAATGCAGCTTCATCAGTAAATAAAATGTAAGATATGAAATTCGGATTTAAAGCACATTTTACGAGTAGCCATTTTGAAAATTCTATTCTTGCTTGATAATTCGGTGGAGTGAGTGCTTGTACTCGTTCGTATGGATAGAGTAATTGTATATGAAGTTCTTCAGACAAGAGTAGTATCGATTCCTACGGCATCGGATATCTTTTTTACGCTGATTCCGGAATTTTCTTCTATTATCCTTAAAATGCGATTTTCTGTATTGGGCGTCGATACAGATCTAGGCCTGCCAGAATCTCGGTGGCGAGTTCTAAATGAGCCTGATTCACAAAGATATTGGTGAAGATTTTGAAACAGTGTATAAGAAAGAATTCTTCGAAATAGGAAATTTTTCCACGTAAAGACGTCGTGCAGCTAAAGCACTTCTATTAGGACGACCACATATAAAATGCATATCTGCCATTTCTTCATTAAAGTAATACGCTGACATTTTCAGTACGATACTTTGTAACTGTGTAATTACCAAATCGCAAAAATCCGCAATCGCCGGTTGATAACAACTGACTGATTGCCGGTGAAATCTTCTGTTTCCTAACAACACACATGTCCGGAGAACATGTGTGTTGTTAGAGTTATGAAGTATGTATG